TACTTTGTCCATCACATAAAATGTGAAGACGGTAAAATTTGTGGTTTGTGCATATATTTTGACAGTGCACTATAGAAGCAACTCTAAACCATTGAACACAATCAGCACAGCAGACACAAGACCGGAACCGAAGTCCTCTTATCACTGTGTTTGGTTGGGTCTTTTTTTTTTTTTTCAAATTTTATACATCTTCTTGCAAAGCAAAACTACAGCAAGGAAACATAATTTCATTGACATACATCAATAACACTCACACTGACACACGCCACCGTACTGTTTGGTGTACTCTCCTCATTGCTTTCTCTCCATATATCTCTTTGTTGTCCCGTAAGAGACCCGATCGACCCAATAATGTGCCTTGCCAACCAAACAACTACCCTGGTTCAGCTGAAACCAGATTATTCCAGTTCTCTGTGGGCTGTCACTGAGGGAGCACAATGTGAGAGAGGCGGGTGGCTCAGCTTCATCTCTACAACAAACACTTACACACACACGCACACATCCATACACACTAACTTTCAAAGGGGAAACCTGAGTGTATTAACCGAGAGGTGTCCCTTAGTTTTGGGTCACCTCTTTATAAAAGAAAAGAGTAAGAGGACCGATATGAAGGTGACGGAAGCAGAAAAGAAAGTTCATGCTAAGGTGAAATTTGAGAACTGAGATCTGGAAGTGAACCTGCGTGTAGACATTGAGAGAGGACAGCAACAGAAGGGTGGTACAACAGGGTCATGTCCTCATTTGTGTAACCACCGCCCTGCACAACATGTGCTCAGGGGTACAATTGATTGGATTAGAAGCTAACAGCAGTTCAAACACATCAACAGATGGTTCCACATCAGCAGATGCATGTCGTGACCCTTGAGTGGAACCGCGAGTGTGCCGCAAGAATTCAATATTTATTCATGAAAGCTAAAACTGTGAAGCAGATTAAGGCATCACTGGTGAGATTCCGAGAACGTCCCAACTATGGAGTGGTTGATACTTGTTAGACATGTTCCTATCCATCATCAGCACCAACTATGTGAAAGGGAACTACTTGTACCTGTTCCGTGTTTGGCACACATATACATAGATATTTATACATGGCTAAAAAGTAACCCATCAGAGTTAAAGCAGTAGGCTAAATGCTAAAACTCAAAGAAGAAGTCACAAGCTTACCTTGGCCATTGGAGTAGTAGTAGATCCACTTCTCTCTGACCTGTGTTGGAGTCCCAGATGTCTTCTTGTGAATTGCCTTCTCCATGATGCTGCTTGGGTCCTGCATGGGGCCCTTCTTCAGCACCCGAGAGCTCCTCTTGACGCTGCACACCACGATCACGACCAGCACCAGCAGGAGCAACAGAACTATCATCCAGGGCAGGTGCTCGTTGATGTCAAAATGATCGTGCATGGTCGGCCTTGGTGACCCTCTGCGGTTGGGCCTGTAGTAGTTGGAGGCTTCACCCGCATTCCCCGAGTTAACCACGTTACTGATGCTTGTTCCAACCCTAACTACTTCTGGGCCTACTGGACCCTCCATTCTTGGTTTATTTGCCCCAGGCTCAGGATCAGCATCAGACTTGCCCAATTCTTGCTTGAGATCCATGGCTTGCTTTCGAGCCACTGACAAGGGAGTCCATGACGCTTCCTGATTTGGTGGGGTGGGGACGCCAGAATGGGTAAGCATTAACTCCACTCCTCCGTCTTCCCCGCCTACAGTTTTCCTCAGTTGAATGGCTGCTGACTGGCTCAAGGGATCTGTGATGTTTGACAATGGATTTGATGGAGACAAAGATATAGTAATAAGATGAGGAAAAGGAACACAGAGCTGGTACACAAGAGATAAGAAGCAACAGAGACACAGAAATAGGGAATTAAATTCACTCAATTTGAAATATGCTCGCCCTGATCATGAAAACAGAAGGTATTACAGGAGGAAATCCTCATCCAAGCAAACAATCTGGGATACTAGCATGGTAACCAGTGGTAGCTTCTTTTCTCCTTTATCTGTGTGCAGCATTTACTTAGGAAGAGCCTACTACTTCTGAGGTGTTGAGATGGTTAGCGCCATATTTTATAAAAAAGTAACCCAAAAAAAATGAAACAATCAATAGGGGAAGACTGCTGGTGCTGGATAGAACTTACTCTTGGTTATCATCGATTGCTCGCATGGATCAGGGTTCCATAGCGATATCTTATGTTTTAATAGACTAGGTTAAGCATATGTCCAATTGAGTGAATTTAATTAGATTTTTTGAGGATATCAATTAGCTGACATGACTGTAGAGCAGTGGTCTCAAACTCCAAAAGTTGTGTCTTTCAACTTTTCAGCCCAGCTGGTATCAATATTAGCTCATTAGCAGAGCTCTGTAGAGCTTGGCTTCATGCTAGTGACACAGTTCAGCCATTTAATTCCAGTGTGTAGAACATCTTCACTCCAGTCCAGTAAGTGGCAGTATATGCACTTAAGTAACTTTGTCAACCACAAATAAAACTTAAAAGAAGAGAGACATCTAGAGGTTGCAGGACACCAGCCCTTGAGGACTGGAGTTTGAGACCACTGCTATGGAGAAATATCTGATACTTAATCAGGAAAAGGTGTCACTCTACAGGTTAATAAAAATACTCAGGTAGGGTGTTGTGCTTAAGTGACGTTTGATTGGTATAAAGCAACCCTTAGCAACAATTGAGAAAGAAGAACTTTTTCCAATCTCCTGTTGTCCAGTTTTGGGAAGCCTGATTATTATTTTTTTGCCCCAAGCTCCTAAAATTAACCGGTGCAAGTTGCAACTTGCTTCAAAAGGTCTACATATTGTATGTTCAGAGATGGTTCCACATAGCTTGGTTTCAATAGTGGTCATTTAAACTACTGCTGTCTTTCTGCTATTTAAACAAATTTTGCTCATCGTCTCCTCAAAGCAGGAAACTATGCCACATTGAGTCAATTGAAACCTCTTTTTTTTTCGTTCTGATGTTCGAATTGAGGTGCATCAATGCATTGAGTTCCTTTAGTGCGGCAGGATGATACCCTGTGGCTACTGAGTGTACATTTCAGGCTTTGCAAGAGAATGATTTCAAATTTGTACCATCACTGCAGAGTAAAAAACTAAAAAAAAGAAAAAGATAACTGTAATGCCAATTAGCTTGTCCCCAGAAGTTAAATTTGGAGACAACAAAACACACGCGTCACACAAAATATGAACCATCAAGCTGCAGCTGGGTTCCCTGGACTGCAAGGACCCTTAATCTCTGTCTGCTCCCACTGCTTTGCTCCAGCCCCAATGTGCCCCGGCTGGTAATCACACAGCAGATGAAGTCCAAAATTGCTCACACCACAGTCTGCTTGTTGATTAAATTGAAGCCAGGGGACACCTAATCAGGATTCGACTCAGCCGAAGGAACAGTTTGAAAAGTCGTCCTGACCGACACTTCACAGTCAGTGCTGGACTCATCAGTTAGGTGAGGGGCAGTTAGGGTGGTGTGTTGCACCCAACACTAACAACAGCTGCAGAGTTAGTGTTCTCCAGGCATGGAAAAGAAAAAGTGGTTTGTCAATGTCAGTGCGTCACTTCCTGCCATTGATTATCGATGCAATCTCCAGCACCTCCCTGCTGCTTTCTGTGCTTCAGCACCCCTAATGATGATGGGAGCTGAGTTGCATAATCTCTAAATTGTCATTCAGATGTGTAATAATCCTATTTATCCTCTCATCAGCAGAACATTGCCCAGGTGTGACTCTAATCCATAAATTAAAAGTGACATTTTGACCAGAACTCTAAAGCAGGGAGAGAAAGCGCTCAGTGACAAACACAGGGAAACAGAAGGTGTTGGGGCATTTCAGAGTCTTTGGCTTTATACATACACGCTTCTGAATATGTAGCTGTCAAATGTATGACAGGTTATGTGGCTTGATTATCTTCCTAACCAAAAACTGTAAGAAAAAAAGTATCAACTCAATCAAAAGAAGTTGAAGTGAAAACCAGTGTGGCAGATGTCCCATAATGGAGAACTTTGCATTAATTGTGCCAGCAGTGTAAAACTAAGTAATTTCTATTTATTGGACAACTGCTTGGCTCCAGATTTATGAGTCTCAAAGGACAAAGCTAAGAGCTTTTAGTCCAAATTGAGTCTACTGACAGTAATCCAATTAGTTTTCAGGGCTAACCACATAAATATGTCAATAAAAAATACCTTTGGCTTGGTATTGATGTATTGCTATTATTATTATCATGAGTTATTTGTTATGCTGCGGGCATTTATAGTTGACAGGCAGAAGCGTACATGCTGAGCATGTACATATGTCTAAATGTGACTGAAAGTGTCATGTATATAACAGTTTGACTCCAAGTGGACTAGAGAAAATTCATTTAAAATGCATCTAATGCAAGTTTTTAAAAGTTATGGAAGTTAGTTGCATAATCATTCTATAGTGTAAAAAGATCAGCTTGGATATATATTTAAGCAGTAAATCAATCTAATAAATTCATCTATGATGGGTTGAACAAACAAATCTCATCAACAATTTAATTTGGAGCGGCCAAAGCGCATATCTTTTTCTTTCTTACTTTTCTTTAATCTGCCACTATGAAAATTACAGTTGATTTTTCAGTATTAAACTTTAATACTGAAAAATCAACTGCATACTTTGGTTTTTTTAATGTTACTGGAGCTGATTATTTAGACAGACAGGACGTTGGAGGCACCAATCATGTTTCGACTTTTACTTGTTCTAACACTATTTTAAGCTACAAAAGATTCACTGATAAGCTAATTGTTTTTAGCACAACATTTCCAGAGTCCAATCAGATTGTTTTTTGAAAATATTGTTAACCTCCAGAAGGCCAAGAGAAGCAGCTTTGTCGTCCGTCAGTGTTGTTTGCAAATGTTGCTTGTGCGTTAGATTTACAGGCGTACCAGAAACACAATACAAAGGTTCCTCCTCTGGGCTTTTGTACGTAAACGACCAAATTGCATTTAAAAAATTTTCCGTGTTAAATTCCATGTATTTAATGAATTGAAATCACCAAGTTAAAGTCTCGGCTCTGGCTTAAAGGGCCTGGAAAAGCCTGCAGCCCACACTGTGTAAGGTGGATATAACAATCAATGTAACATCTCTGCTGAACATTTCTGGTTGCTAGGAGATGTGTGATGTAACCTCCAATTATCTGAGTTATAGAAAAAAAAAGGAACAAACTGACTTCCTCTACAGAAACTTTACAACTCAATCTAATCTTCCTCTCCTTTCTGAATGAGGGTGACCACCCACCCCCTCCTCTACCATCGGTAAATAGCAGGTGTAAGCTAACAGCCCCCACCAATCCCCCCCCATGGTTCTAACAGCTCAGACGGTGTCAAATTAACTGGCTCAAAGGCCATCGATCCCCTGCCAACACAAACAGCAGTGACAGTATTATGGCTGTGGGGGGTTTAGTGGAGGAGAGGTATGCTAGTTATGGATGGTTGATTCTGAGAAATGACTGCTTGGCTGGCTCAGACGAGCATGACGTAAGAACGGGTAAGGACATGACGAGTCCGGCAAACCAACGGGAAAATGTAGGGGAACTACCGAGGGTTTTTTCTCTACCAACAGGAGAAAAAGAAAAGAAGAAAGATGAAACAAGAGGACAGAAACAACCTTGAGTCCCCTTGAAAATGCAATCATTCCTGGCATACAGGGGCAGCCTGCTGTTTCCGTGCCAACAGATATCCCACCTATGAGAATTCTAGCCTGGATGAGACAGTGGAGGGGTGGGGGGGGGCATTTGTGCAATGAGGATGCAGCACTTCAAAAAAATACATAACCTGCAGCCATGTAACAGTTTTCAAAATGTTTCCACATTTCTTCATGTGCAACAACAGGCCTCAATGTGCTTTGCTGGGATTTTATGTAATAGCAAATTAGCTCACACATAGTATTATAGTATTAAGCTTTTTTTTACTAACAAAAATGTGACATACATTTTTATGAAGCCCTTCCTAAGTCAAGACTTTGTAAAGTCAGCTTTAACTCCAGCAACAGCTGTCGGCACTTGCTGGAATGTCGCTACTGGTTCACATTTGGACACGGAAGGTTTTTCTTTTCAAAATAGCTTCATGTCAGCCAACGATTATGTAGAGAATACGCAAGAGTCTATTTCCAAGTCTCGTTGCAGTTTTTCATTTTCAGGTTTAGACTTTGACTGGGCCATTTTAACATAAATAGGCTTTGAACTAAAACACTCCACTGTTTGTGGTCATTTTCTTAGTGGTAAGTGAACCTTAAAACTTCCACACTTTTAATTCTTCAAACAAGTTTTCTTAGCAAATGCAGTCACTTATGTTTCATGTCATTTCTCCTCTAGGGATTTGATTTTACTGAGACAAAAAAAACAAAAAAACAACAACAAAAAAAAACAGGAAGTTAATCTGAATAGGAATTCTTCTCAACAAAAGAGAAGTGCATGATGGCCGCCTCACCTTTACGTTCATGCCCATTCAATGATGGGGAGACCGATGACATCATCGTCTCCTGAACAAACACAGCCTGTGCAGGCCCCAGTGGAGTGGTCGGGGGGACAGATGACAAAGTGGCAGAAGGGGGTCCACACACGTTATCCGTTTGTCTTGTCCCTGGTGTCAACAGCAGCCTTGCCAGAGCTTTGCAGTCTGTGTGATTTCTGCAACTCATGGCGCTGGATTCCACCTGAGAAAACGTGCCCTTCGTGCACGGCTTGCAGAGAACGTCTTCCTTTTCGTTGCCGCGCCTTTTCACCCGGGTCCCGGGTGGGCACAGGGAGTGGGGCTTGCACTCCAGACCACCGCTCTTCAACAGGAATGTGTTGGGCGGACAGGTGCAGACTCGGTCCTGGGTGGCCATGCACGGCGCCTTCTCGATGAAGCCTGCGGGACACGGAGCCCGACAGCGGTGGCATTGCTGGACGCCGTTCTCGCCCCGTGTGAAGGTGCCACTGGGGCAGGGGCTGCACTCCCTCACTGTTGTCGGAGAGCAGTGGACGGAGACGTAGGTGCCTGCTGGGCACTTGTCACAGACCAGCTGGGTGCCAGAGTCCCGGTCTGTGTGCTGATAGTGGCGTGGAGAGAGGAGGGGCTGGTCGTCTGCGGTGGATGTGGTCAAAGCTCGGGCTGAGATGTCAGCCACCACCGTGCACAGGAGCTGAGAGGAGAACAAGAAACATCAGATCAGTTGGTTTAGAATATAAATTATTTTCATCTTGCTTTGGTAGGATAATCTGACATCTGCTTTCTCTGTTCGGATGGTAGTTGAAGACATTAGTGTCAAAGTTACTAACGTCACTCTTTCGTCCTGATTTGTCTTAAAGTGGCTACACAAGGTAAAAACTGAAGGGTGTTAAGTTATAGTTATATCCTGAAGCCTCTGCCATCATAGAATTCCTCATAATGAAACTCACTGACTCATCCTGAGACTCAACCAGCACAGAGTTTATGGGCTTTTTGTCACAGCTGATGATTCATCCCCCAGTGTAAGCTGTAGTTGTTGCTTTGCCTCCACAGAATGCCCTCTCACCTCTCCTTGGAAGTTGTCAGCTTCCTAGATTTGGTGGAATGACACACACCTCTGGGTTCAACATCACAGACAGACTGAGTCATGCATGTGTAACACTACCTGGAACACGAAAGGCACAGATCTTCCACTCGAGAGAAACTTAGTGCAACGTTTCGTAGCTTTTTTTAAGTTTTAACTCTCAAACTAAAGATGGTAAAAGCTGCTCCACACGGTAAAGCTGTGTGGTTTAAAAAGTGTAATACTTTCTGAAACAAATGGATCATACAACCTGAACTACACTAGTAGAAAGTGGTCTACTGGTAAAAAGTGTCATGTAATGTACATATGTACATAGCCTGAGTCAGTTAACCAAAGTGCCTTTCATAGTCGTAAACTGAGGGTCGGACATTCTGTTTTAGGATTTGCTGCAGGTATTCCAGGTTCTGCCACCATGTTTGACTGCATGTATGATGCTGTTTCTCATAAATCTTTTTAGTTTGGGAACTTTGTGGTGGTGCAGTTCATGGCACTGCTCCCCTGGTGAAAGAAGATCCTGGCTTCTTCTTTGTGTGGATTCTGCATGCTTAACCATACATGTTGTCTATGGCTGTTGGTGCTGTGAGTCGATCTGTTGCTTCGTGATAGACTGGTGTACTGTTCATGGTGTACGCAGTGCAACCCTGGATTGTTGAGCAGGTATTGAAAATGGATGGATGTTTCAGTTGTACACAACCCGACAGGACAGAACCTTCTAAAGAATCCCACTTTTGTCTCGTCAGTCCCCTGAATATGTCCCCAAAGATCATCAGATGTTTTTTTAGCATATGCGCAATGGGACAGGGTGTTCTTTTGAGTCACTAGTGATTTTAGACTTGGAACTGTCCCATGATACTATTCTTGCTGCTGAATCATGAACACTGACATTAACTGAGTAAAGCGAGCCCTGTTGTGGTTTAGGTGTTTGTCTTTTATGAATTCCAGGATAAATCATTGCTGTGCTATTGTCCAATCCAATCAAATTTGACATCACTCCTACTGGAGTGATGTTGTTAGGCCAGTCCAATAATTGAAACGTTTATTATCCATACATGTTTTTAACATCAATGGCCCCTGTATGGCTCTGACTCTGGTTTACTAGAGTCCCAAAGCTTTCAAACTGGCTTTTCAACCCCTTCCAGGCTGAGAAGTGTAAACAACTGTTTCATATTGGCTCCAGTTGGTCAGCATAGCTAAAATTTCTTTAATATAAATACAATCATATTTGATAAAGTGCATATTTAGTCTTCGGAGCTTATAGTTGTTTTACAATGACAGTTGTTTCCCATATTTTTAAGTCTTTTTTAATCTGTTAAAGGGCAAATACCTTCCTTAACCCTTTTTAGCCTTATAATTTGTATACCAGTCCATGTTACTTAGACACTAAGTCTTCACTAGAAAGATTTTACACTCACATTGGAGGTGAAAGGAAAAATCTGTGGTATGATTGGAAATATTTTTAAAAAGTGATTTCCAAAAAATCAGTTCTTATAATAATTACAGAAACACCAGCAATACCTTCAGAGCTGACAGGGTTGACCTTTCATCCACCAGTCTGCTGCCCTTTCATCACCACAACATCCATTCAGTCCATTGTGTTCATTCCCAGAACCTCATCCATAAACATCAGAGCATGCTGTCAACATACAGCATCCAACTCTGTTGCGTCACTGATATCAATGCGTTCATTCACATCCATGTTCAAAGTGAAAAACTTCAGGCCGGGAGCGCGTGTCATGGGAAAATGAGAACATTCTGCTGGTTCCAGGGAACAATGGACAATCTGCCCCGGCTCTCTCTGCTGGTTTAGTCTTCAGAATCACCTCAGCTTGACCCTTATTGTTGTGGACTTATTTACCAATCGGTGTGAGTTTTGATCAAAAACCTGAAATAAAGGATAAGTGTTCTATGTTGGAAAAGGTACTAAATACCCAAATGTCAGTGGGTAAATGTGGAATAATTCTGAAAAATTTGTAGTTTTTTCCAGTACTAAGATATGCTGTTCATTCAAAACGTGTACACACCTGTCTTACATTGGTGTCATCAAAACTGTCATAAAGAAACACACTAGTACGCACTACACACATATTCTTGCAAATCCGTCAGCATTGCATCAGGTTCTTAGCAGCCATTTTGTTCCATTTCAAACTTAATTATCCTGTATTTTCTGTAACTAAAGTTGGCTGACTTCACTGTGCCATGGTCACTGCTGTCATCATAAATCTCCATAACCAAACCGCTAATATTTTCATGTAGAAATATACTGATAAATTACCAAAGAATGTGAATTTACAATAATAGCGCAATTCCATTTTTAGGTACAGTGTATGTCTCAGACAGCAAGAATATGCTGTACCCTTCTCTTGACTGATACCTTATAACAGTGATGCTCCTCTGCAAACTATCCATAGAGTATGTCAGAACAAACCTTCAGGGAGAGCAGAACATTGACTACAGTTCATTAAATCAGCAAAACATTCACTTAAGGGTGTGCAGACTTGTGCAATCAGTCTCCTGGAGTGTTTTTATGTTCTATATTTTCATATTTCAGCCCCAGAAGAAAATACTCACCAGTTCTTTTAAGACTGAGAATACAGGGTTAAAAAGCTACTGATTGGTCCAGGTCAGGACTGCATCTTTTGGGCTTTCTAAGCAGACAGATTCCAGACGCCTCAGCACTTTTTAACCATATGGAGCTAAGCACTGTGACAGCTGCTACTCAGCATGTTAAGGGAGCAGTGCGATGGGCTAATGGCAACTAAATACCTGCTCCTAATTGACTGCTTGTTCATATCTGTGTCTCCTTCCCTGTGTGGTCAACAACCCCCCTGCCTTCATCTAGACTAAAATCAGCCCTGCCATTTAGAAAATTTAAAAAATGCAAAGCCATCAAAGACACAAAGCAAACAAAGTGCAGTGCTAGCATTTTCACACTACACACACACACACTTAGAAAAATGCACACACACCGCATGGAGTTACTGTCTGGAGCCAGTGTAGCAGCCACCTCTGCTGATCAGCACTACATTAATCCATTTCAGTCCTTCTGCTGCCAGGGTTGGGTCTTTCCTGCCAACTCCTCCTCAATCCGCCTGCACCACTAAATACGTGATCAGTCTGGGGCGCAGGACGGCCAACCAATCAGAGACCATGATTCAAGGTGGGTTAAGCCTGGGGAAAGGGCAATTTTATTTACCCCGACCTCAACCATCCCCTCTGCATACAAAATTGACATGCATGTGTTATCCTAAAGTCTCTGAGTCCCAAGTCCAAACTCTGTCACAGATTCAAAAGAAAATGCTGAAGTGTAGTAAAACTAAACGGAGCTCTGTGAGGTCTTTAGTTTTTTGTGATTCTGCAAAAGTGGGAATTCAGATAAATTCAACAAGTACCTGCATATTATTTGTGTGAACGCATAGTGGTAAGTTTGTTGAAAATATTTCTCAAAAAATGGTCAAACTGAAAACATTGTGTTTCAGTAAGTGCTACCTCCCACCAGCAGGTGGCAGTAGTTCTTATGGCCTCAAAAGGCAAAGTTTTTCCACTACCTGTGGTAAAACCCAGCATAAAAGTAACAGCTGCTCTTTGTTCTCTAATGTTCCCTAAGGGCGTTTTCACACCTGACCGTCCAGTAGCCTGTGGGGGCGCTGCAACAAGAACCAATGAAGGAAACGACATGAACATTTCTGAAGAAGAACTGAGTGGAACATCCTTCTTCACGAAATGCAAACAAAAATTAAATTGTAGGATTTCTCTTTTTTCTTTCTCAAATGACCACAATCCATTTCTTCCGCTAGCGCTATGTACACACATTTGTTTTGGTTGTATTCACCCAGAATGCCCTGTGCTATAGTCCACTTCCTGCTTTTGGTGCCGTCTCCCGTCCAGTAGGCGTTCACAAACCACGCCAGAGTTTATTTCAACCGTGCTGAGCGATAAGTTTGTATGCGGAAAGAGTTTGGTCCACATCTGAGTTTGATTAGGCGTTCACACCTCCCAAATGAACCAGAGAAATGGACTGGAGTTGGATTAAAGCGGACTAAACGGGTGGGATGAATGAACACCCCACCCCTAAAACAACATTAGAGAACCAGAAACTGAACACCTGTAAAAATTTTGAAATGACGTAACTCTAACTGTTCTCTGTTTATTGGCTTCTGAAGCCAGTTGGTTGTACTGACTTTTAATTGAGGCTACCAGTGTGAATACGAATGCATCCCACACTATTTGATGTGGACTTGTAAAAAAAAAAAAAAAAAAAAAAATTTTTATATAATAATAAAAAATAAAAAATAATAAAAAAAA